GAAAGCCTTGTAGGTGGGTGGGTATTTTAGAGGCAAGAGGCCAAGTAGGAGAACTCACACACCAATTTATTCATCTATAGAATTAGGCTGAGTTGTATATATGATAGAGCTCAACTACCTTTTTTTATTTTCCTGAGGCGCATTATAAAACCGACCTGCATTTATGACCATTAATTATTATTTGTTGATTGATGATTGATATGTTATTGATTGTGCATTAAAACTGCATGTTTTTCATAAGTTTCTTACTTTGTTTTGTTTGGAGGTGGCTCGGATGAATCAATGCAAGGCTCTTTAGGATGTTAAATTTTCTTAAACAATATAAAAATAAGCATAGCATTTAAAATAAACCAATTTTCAAAATTAATGCATGATCCCTTATGGGTCACTTTTAAAATGATGATTAATATTTCAAGCCTTGTTTACTTCATAGTGACTATTAGCCCGTTCTGATTGGCCTTACCCATGCATGCAACTTTGGGGCAAATCACATAGGTTTTCTTTTATAACATAGATGGATAGTTCACTTTGCATAGCATAGTACCATTCATGGTCAGGTTTGATACTCATTTATCTTATGTGCCTCCCACCACTCTTGCATTTGCATAAGACTAGATTGCATGGATTTGATACGCTCGGTGAAGTTTAGCTAGTATCTCTTTCAAAGCAAGGTGATAAATCTAGGTTAGGGCTGCCTGGTGGAATTTGGGTTATGAGTCCTCTTACGATGTCTTGCATTAGTTAGATCGTAGGAGTTAGTACTTGGTGTATAGTGCATCCTTTTGTAAATCTAGGGTCAAAGGTTGACAATATATGTATATTGTTGCATGTTTTATTGTTAGGTAAGCTCTCAATTCTTCATAGACTATAAATCTCACATATCCACATCACATGAATGAAGTCGCCTCCATCTGTCTCCTACGCATGCATGGCATGGATATCTCCTTCCCAGATTTCTTGTCTTTGAATTGGTTGCGTTATCATATGATCCTCGCATGTTGAATAGCCTAATTGAACATATCTTCCTTTGGATTATGAGAGTCTAGATACCCCATTATACACCAACCCACAAAGAGAATAATATAACATCTCTAATCGAAAGTTTTCTTAGGTAGAGACCTAAGATGTAATTAATTATGGGGGTTTATGCCCGTGGAAAACTGACACCCATATCAAATAAACCTCATTCGAATTGATGTATTAAATAGAAAAAAATCTCGTATTATTGGGTCATATATATTATTAACCATCGAGGTGTGTAGGTGAAAACTACTATTCTCCATGGTTAATCGTATATATGATCCTATTTGCTCTCCCATTGTCCTGGTTGCGAAGAGTGTGAAGGCATATGACCGTCTTGTCCCAATGGATAGTGTGATCATGCCCTTTGCATTATAACCCCCTGCTTGCAACATCCTTTAGGAGACCCACAATGACAATGAGCAAATATCAAAGAGATCAACAAAGTCAAGCAAAAGTTATCAAAGGAGTTTATCATGTCAGGGATTTGAATTACTTGTGACAAATTAGTTGGTAAGTTGATATTGCCTCAGGCTTATTATACTTAAGAAGTATTAAGCATGGTCCATATGTTTAAGGTGAAATTTATAAGTATCTCTATGAAAAGTGGGAGACAATATACATGGATTCAGTTCTTTATGCTTCAATAGATGGCATGATAATCTATACCATAATATGCAATAGACATTATATCAATCATGTAGCAGGAGCCATCGATAGATATACATCAAATTCAAGAAAGGCATGTGATATGAAACATATGCAGAAATTGATGGCTGAAATTGAAATTTCATCAAATATAAAACTGGAGATATATAAGAATCTTGTGGCCAAAACTCCTAAATAGCCTTTAGATTAATAAAATACGAAAGAAGACAAACAAGATACAATAAGTCTTCTATTAGAGAGGAAGATCAAGCTCTCCCAAAGCTCTAGATGCCGCTAGAGCCCAAACAAGAACTAAGAACCAGAAAATTTCAGCAAAAACTGAGATGAAAACATAACCCTAGCCACCAAAACATACTTAAGCATACAATCATTAGGTAAATCTTAAAACAGACCCTTTTATTTGAATTTTCCATCCTAAATCCCCCTTTAATTCCCCTAAATAAGCTTGTGGACCCCATTATCAAGGAGCGGCAGAGATGGGGGGCAGAACTTCCCCTATCCCGCCTCTTGTAAATCTAGACCAGTCAATCAATACTCTCTTCCCAAAGAACCACCTTGTCCTCATAGTGGAAGGAGGGAAACTAATTCTTCACCCTCTCATATGGCTCCCAAGTGGCATCATAGTTAGGTAAGTTCTTCCACTTAATCAACACTTCTTTGAGAGGCCGAGTGATATGAAGTGTTGTAACAACATTCTGCCCAAACCAGCCACTTGACTCATACCCTAGATGTTTATGAAGCAAAATACTGCAGGTATGTCTCCAAGCTCCTGCTCACCACTATTGTCTACCCGTCTGTCTGGGGGAGGTAAGCAGCGCTCCTCTTCAGCAATGTCCCTTATAGCTTGAATAGCTCCCTTCAAAAATACCGAGGAATACATTATCTTTGTCTGATACTATAGATTATGGTATCCAATGTAGCCCGACCACCTCCCTGATGATTGTGTACTCTACTGGCATCAGGCGCGTAAGATGTGTATCACCGAGCTCTTCAGCCCTCGAACTTCGACTCCTACGAGCTCATTTGCTTCGCCAAGCTACGTGGGCTTCTCTGCCGCCTCTTCAACATCGCTGGCAAGCACCTCCTCCTTAAGGACCACCTCACTACTCTCAGCCTCAACGTCTTCCCCGACTCTGTCACTGCTCCTTTTTCTTTGTGTCAAAGGAGAATGATGTAGAGCATCTTAGCTGCTAAAATGTTCCTTAGGATATTTGATTTAGTTTATTATAATTTTGTACATGTTTCTAGAACCTTCTAGGTTTCTTTTGCTAGATTATAAGTATAACAATTGTAAATAGGAAGAATGAATGAATTTTTTTGGAATTCCAATAGTTTTTGCGGTTTTGATCCCTAAGAGCTCTTTGCTTCTTATTTGCTCATGTTTCTTCAATGATCTCCCCACATCAATTTCTCTCCTTATGAATAGCCTAGTTTCCTAAATTATTTAGGTTTCATTTGTGTATGGATGCCCATAGAACGAATAAATAATCAAGCCTTCTAGTCACTTCACTTTTTTTTTTTATAAGAACCATACTTTGTGCATGATTAATGTTAATGATAATGCCCCTTTTTAGATTCCAACTCTTATAAGGAAGGATAATTCTTCTAAAAATAAAAAAATGTTAATAATGAGAGCACTTTTATATATGACAAACATCTGGATTATGTTATTGCTCAAATTTTGAAATGATCTCTGATAAAGATCTTGATAAAAATTCATAAAGAAGCATCAGCTTGTCATTTCTTGGATTAAGCCATTCCTCAAGATGAAATGCTAGCTTCAAACATTATTGCATCTAAAGGCGAGGATATGATGATTGAGCCAAATGTTGATGTTGGAAGTTACAATCTTATTTATCAACCAAGGTAAGAAGGGTCTAACAACATTTTTGCACTCTTCAGTGGAGGTTTGCCATTCACATTCTAATATAAAGGCAAGGGAATCGACTTCTGAAACTACTTTCAATTCAAAGAAATAAAGATTCATAATGTGATGAACCTATTGTCAAAAGATTATAAACTATATCATTTAAATATGGGAGAAACTTCAAAAGTTTATCTTTCCTCTCCCAGGTTCAATAGATACCAAACTAGATAAAAAATACACCTAATAATTATTCCATTTCGCATTTGCAAAGAAGTCTAAGACTTAAACTCCCGGTGAGTTATTGCTCAAGTCTTGGATCCCTTAGTTGTCTGCTATTTTAAAAATGATGGATGGATGTTATACATTAAAAGTGTTGGTTGATTTTATGGGCACCATCACATTTTGATGTTGGCATCTCCATACTCTATCTCCTAACATGCTACTTTGAGTGTTGTTCCAAATTGATGTATATTTCTATGTCAATTTTATTTCATTTCTCTTTCATTTTTGTTGGACATGTACTTAAATCAAATTATATAGATGTCTTCCTCTCATTGAACAATACTTGGTTTGATCCCTATGATCAGCAAAGAAAGTCAGTAGTCTTTATGAATACAAAAGATTCAACCACTTTGTAATTTTTATTTTCATTTTATGGATCGGTAGTTATTCACTTTAAAAAAAAAAAAAACTCCAAACAATCCCTGATATAGATAGTAATTTCAACATTTCCTACAACTTGCTCATTTACTAAGCCCAAATCACCACAAAAAACAAACATATTATCTCAAAAATAAAAAACCAAAATATTGGTATGATGGTATCATTTTTGTAGGTGGCTAAAATGAACAAATTAATGGTAGACAATGACGAGATCAAAGAATGTTGAACTTGCATGGAAGAAAATGCTCAGAAAAAGGGCCCAAAGTTATTCCATTTAAAAAAAAACTAAACTGGAATCATTGGGATCTTAAACAAACACTAGAGCAAGAATAAAAGTGTTGAAGGCACATTGGATTATTGGGTTTAGTCTCACATCAAATAATTAAAAATATGTTGGTAAAGAAATACCAAAGGATTGACTTTTACCAATAGATCTTAAATTTATTGTGATTTGACCACTTTTATGTTTGGAATAACTTCAATTTTATTTTGTCCAAAATCTTTAACAAATAATATCAAAGTCGATGATTGGTCTAGTATTGAATGGTTCATGCATCCTACTCCCCTAAGTCTTAATGTTTACATATTTTGATTTTTCTTTCTATGTTACATATCAGATCTAATTACCTTCTTTTATTCAAAGCAACAGTAAAGAAATTGATGATCCTGGGTTAGAGAACTTCTTAGGAAATAATAGAATAAGTAGATTGCTTCTAATTTCCCAAAATCTCTCCTAGAGTTGCCAATATCTTTTGGATTTGGGTATCAAATTCCATGGATATCTTCTGAATTATTCTCAATTTTCAATTGCTTTACTGATAAGAACCCATGCATAAAGAAGACATACATGTTCCTTCAGCATTCCTCATAGTTCATTTTAAATGTTTATGTCATTCTAGCGAACTTGAAGTTAAAAACACTCTGCTATTTCCTCTTTTCTAATTCTTAGATATTGATAGCAAAAATGATGAATGTACAACAACTACCAGCATTACATTTCCTAAAGCTTACTGGAAAAGATTGAACTCACTGAGGGGCCTTTCTTTTAGACTTGAATGGAAACCCACCAGGCGGCGATGGAGAAAACTCTAGAGGAAGATGTGGGAGCTCAGACTGTCCTGTAAGCATCTCTACAATCTCCTTAATGGATGGACGGCGAGAAGGCAACCTCTGAATGCAAAGGAGGGCTACAGTTATGCATAGAAGCGCTTGCTCCCTGTCAACCGCTTGCAAAGAGGGATCGATGAGATCAAGGAGCCTCCCAACATGAGCAAGCTGCCTTGCCCAAGAGATGAGATTAGCTCGTTCGAACTCCGACATGGGAGATGCGGTGACCTGCAGTGGCCGCCGGCCAGAGACGATAACTAATAGAAGCACACCAAAGCTATAAATGTCACACTTTTCCGACAGAGGCCCTCCTCCACCATACTCAGGGGCAACATAGCAGATAGTGCCTCTCATGCTGGGTGTGCTGCTCACCGTGCAACTCTTTGGAATGTCCCCGACCATACAATCTCGGCTGCTCCGCTTACTGATGCGATCCAACCATTGATCATTGCTTGTCTGGCTGCTTCTGCTAAAGCTCTTCTTCCTCGTTCTTTTCGTCCTCCCTTGCGAAGAGTGATGCTGCTCCGCTTCATTCTGCCACCATTGGCGCTCGACTGTTTCGATGTTGCTTTTTGATTTGATGATGGTTTTTCGGTTACTTTTGTTGGTGAGCTCCTCACAGAACTCCTCTCGCCACCACTCCCGTGCCGGCCGGCTTTTCTTCTTCGTCCTCTCCTCGTCTAATGAAGCCCACCATTCCAGTTTTCTTTGCTGCTTCTTCCTGTCCGTTCTTCCATTTACGCGAGGCAGGCAATCCTCAGCGGAGACGGCAGATGTGGATGCAGTAATCCATTCGCTTTTTGGCCGTTCCTTTTTAATTTCCGAGCGGATCCACTCCATCACGTAATCCTTGACGCTGCCCCCGGGTTCGGGATTCCCTGCGCCGCCGTCCTGCCGCCACCACCAATCTTTCCCTACACCATTACCAGTGCCTGCAGTGGGGACGGCCTTCCGGCGGCCGCTCCTTCTGCTGGTGGAGACCACCGTTTCAATCCCGCTGTCCACGCTTGCCCTATCAAAACCCCCAACTTCCGAGTTGGAGACCACGTCGAGGGGCATCAAGGTCTCCGTCGGCGAAGCTATGAGCTCTGCCTCTGAAACCCTAGTAGCAAAAGTATCGTTTTCCTCCTGACATCTCTCATCTAAGCCTATGGTCGTCGTGCTTTCGGCGGTTTCTCCCATCGCCGACGCATCATCGTCGCCTCCACCGACATTAATATCTGGCTGCCAGTTCTCATCTTTCGCCCAAATTTTTTGCGAAGATTTCTGTTCGATCTCGCCTCCTTGGGCTTCCTCCTCGCTCAGATTTTGATCGCCGTCGGGGGCCGGCGAGTTGATGCGGGCAAGACCGAAGTCGGCAATTTTGGCCGAGAGGCGTGAATCGAGGAGGATGTTGCTCGGCTTGATGTCTCCATGGATAACCGGTGGATCACAGATCACGTGCAGGAAATGAAGCCCGCGGGCGATGTCGACAACAACGGAGAACCGCCGCCGCCAGTCCATGAGCTCCAGACACCGCCGATCAAGCAGCGCATCTTGCAAACTACCGTTGTGCATAAGCTCGTAGACAAGTAATAACCTCCGCAACGGCAATGACTCGCCACCGTCATCCATAGCCTCTAAGTCCACCGCTTTCCGCCGCTTACCCCACCAACCGCATCTCTTCTCATAGCTACAAAATCCGAAAGGCACGACGACCCAGCCGCGATCTGGGGAGGATCCCATGGTGAGGATCTTGGCAGCGAGAGCGAGCTCGTTCTGGAACTCACGCTCCCCTTGGAGGAACTCGGAGTCCATGAGTTTGACGGCGACGTGTTGGCCGGAGGGGAGTGTGCCGCTGTATACAGGGCCGAAGCCACCTTGGCCAAGCTTGTGGGAAGGGGAAAAGGAGGACGTGGCACGGCGAAGCAGGGAGAAAGAGAAGCGGCGTAGAAGGCTGGAAGGTGGCCTCAGATCGGAAGGCACGGTGGCTACGGCGCGACCACGGGATAATCGCCGGTAAAGTATCACAGCAAGAGTAGCCGCGGCGGCGGCGGCGATGGTGGCAGCAAGGGCTGTTGCAACCAACACCGGCGTCGATAACTGGTGCGTTGGGTTGTGTCTAGGATGAGTTGTCGCCAGAAGTTTCGCCGCCGTTCCCTGAGACGGCTGCGGGGAAAACATTGAGGCGTCCGTTGGACCGTTGCAAAGGTAAAAGGACAAGAAGAGAAAAAGTGAGCTCCTTTTTGAGTTCGTACGTTTTTTTTCTTCTTCTTCCTTGGAGCTTCGATTGGAAAAGCTAGCTACTCAGCGCGGAGAGCATGGACGGTAAAAGTGGAACCTTTATTAGTTTATTTGTTCCTGTAAGACCAAAAAGTTTTTCTTACATTAAATGTAGTAATTAATAATAAGGCTCTGGTTTGTTGAGAGATGAACATGTGCTCTTCGCCATCTGCTGAATTCTTGACTGAGAAGAAAATAGTACAACAAAACCAAGCTGCTGTGTTCACATTTTTCAGTTTTCGATCAGCAATGAGAGTTTTATATGGTTTTTTTTTACTGATTTTGAAATTTTCAAATTTGTTTGCAGCTTCCACCAAAATATAACAGTTACAGTGAAAACTCAATTATTTTGATTGAAATATGCGTCTCAAATCTCTCTCTCTCACACACACATAAATATATATATCATCTCAAATCATATACATTAAAATATTTTAATATTTATTCTCCCAAAATTACATATACAATAGTCAGCAGATTAGCACAATCGGTAATCCATAAATAGCCTGTAACTATAAAAGAATAAAAGAAAATGCAGAAAAATAATAATAAAAGCAAATCTTGAAGATCTCTTACAACCGCAATCCATCTGGTCCTAATCCATTCCCTGACCTCAAATCATGGAAATCAACAAAATGGTCTAAAAAGCTCAACATTAACTCAAATTCACTAAGCTTCTAATGCAAGGCCTAAAGAACTAATATGTATGCTTAGTTCAGTCAATATAGTCAATAGCATTCAATCTCATCAATGATCATTTATTATTCATAAGGTGTAAGGCTCAACATGATCAATAACAAAAGCAAGAAAATTTCAATGAATCAATAGTCAATACAGGAATCAATAAATCCATAAAGTAATTTTACTAAGATCATTCATAAATTAGAAAAAGAAATTATAACTACAAGTGTCAATATATCAATCTTATCTATTTTATCTAATATCAATCATATGTATCATATGCAGTATATGTAACCATTATAATACATATATCAATGTATTTATGCACATTACGATTCTATCTATCAATACTATTAATACATATATGATTTATTATACGAGTCAACAAGAAATGACATCCAATTGATAATGAGTCATATCCATTATAATTATCATTTATCAGTAAATCAATTATTATTATAGGTGACTTTCATTAAATCAATAAATAGTCATCACTCTCTGCACGTTGGTGTAATTAGTCACCAATTACAAGTATTTTCTATATTAGATTGAGTCATAGGGCTCTTGTGTACAAAAATATCTTAGGAGCGCTGCCTTCTCTACTTCTAAGTAAGAAAAAGGAAGTCTTTGGGATGCTGGGTTATAAGCAATGCAGTGTTGTGTCCTTTGTATTATGGTATGTATAGGACCATTAAGAGTGTTACAGTGATGGCTATCTAGAAGTTGTGACACCAAACTCTATATATTCTGAGTTAATAGAATTCCTTAGGAGTGCTATAATGTTGGCCCTTCAAGCACCGCAGCGCTGTGATTATAATTTTATAAATAGCGAACTTTCACCGACTATTTCTATTCATATGGAGTTTTAAGCATTCAGATATGTATCTAAATTCTAATATAAGTTGTTATAGAATGATAAAAGCCCCAAAATATTATTGTAAATGTTATTTGTAAATAGTTTTATAATTAAGTCATTGTTAAAATGTCTATGTAAATTTATCCCGAATTTCTAACTTCTCAGTTAGAAATGTATGACTCAGCATACTTCTGTATTGAATTCTATTTATATTTGTTGAAAGAGTGATATTTTTTGTATTTGTGTTGAATCTATGTGAAAGATAAAATACTAGTGACTGTTTATTGATGCCTATGTGCATCCAAGTGGAGGTATAAGGGCATGAATTCTAAATGAATAAATGGTGTTATGCACCATGAGTCATAAGAGCCTGATATAATGTGCTATGCGCTGGGAGTTTTAAGTGTCTATTACTAATGTACTATGCATATAATGAGTTATAAGAATTTGATTTTGCATTTGTTTTATATTAGTGAAATGTTGGGAGGTATAAAAGCATGAGCGACTAATCCGATATGATGGGCTTAGAGATTGAATATGATGTGTTATTTCTACTACTTGTGAATGTGTGTTATTTATGTTATCTGGTTGAATAATTATGTTTACACTGTTCTGAATCTTTTGTTGAAAGTTCTGTATGGATAGTATGTCTTTATGCTTCCATAATTATAGATTTATTTACTTATTTACTTTTTTTGTTTGTTATTAAGAATTTAGATAGTTTTCGTGTAGCCTACTAAGCTGTGGTCTGCTCATACCTACTTTTTTATATGTATTAATTTCAGGACAGGGGAAGAGAAAGGAGTAGGATGAGTAGGTAGATCGATGTTACAGATTCCTAGAGGTTAGTTATGCCTTTATGTTAGTAGATTCATGTGACAATTATGATGTATATATGATGATGATGTATGATAATTCTATACTATAATTGTTGCCTATATGAATATTTTGTCAATAAAACTTTTTGTAAATGAATGAAAATTTGATAACATGTTTATTGTGTTTTAAATTGTAGTTTAATGACTTTGTGTTCTGAAAATAAACGAAAATGGAAATAAGTTTTTTCCAAATAGAGCTTAGGACCTAAACTATTGCGATCCGACACAATGTGACCCATTTGGTATACGAGTTATGCTGAGTTCGGTTGTGACAAGTGGCCTCAAGTGATGACAAACATGATGAAGGTTGCCGTGGGGACGATGACGACGAGGATGATAGCGAGCACGAGGACATAGACGATGGCGAAAGTGGGCTCATAAATGTCTATGATGATGGGGAATGGCAACCATAGCTGATGCGAGAGAAAAGTTAGTGTTCGGACAACGGTACCGAGCAGTACTGCTATCGGTACCGAAGGATACCGAGCTCGGTACAGAGCATGTAGTGATGTGACACATTTTTATTGGTCTCTGGACACGCTTGGTGTCCGAACACAATAATCACTCGGTGCGAGGACTCTCACAACAACAAAAATGAGGATTTTAAGAACAAGATAGCATAGTCTTAATGGGCTTCATGAGGCCATTGAGAACCATGTATTCTAAATTAATCTAATTTGAATGAAATCCGAATTCATTGAATATGAACATTTAAGATATTATAAATTCCTCAAAAAAAAAAAAAAAAAATTTTGTATTTATTTTACTCTCAATCATGAATCAAATATCTAAAAATTCAAAACTGTAATCATCCTTTCTGCATTCCTCTATTGCATCAAATAAAAAAACCTCATAATAATTTTGTGTGCCTGAAAAGATATAATAGAGGGTCAGATCTTAGAAACCTTAAACTTGTTAACTTATACTTCACTAAATGTAATATAATAAAGTAAAGGGACTTGTTTATAAAATTTTATGGTTTACCATGCCTTCTACAAAATTTTGACTCTGGTTAAATTTTGATCAAAATTAGTTTGATTAATTGCTAAATTATTAAACATATATTTTAAAATGTGCATAATGTCTATCAGCAATTAAATTTTATTAGGTAATCATTTAAAAAAATTCATTATTTTAAATTTATTTGACAAAAACTCTGAGCAAGATATGTAAGCAAATTTTTTTTCAATTTTTTTCAATTTTTTTTATTTATTTACCCAAAATGTTCCTATTATGTTCTATTATTTTGATTGTTGTTTGATTTTTTATCTTCGTTTAACTTTGTTTCGGATAATTTTATTATTATTTTTTAAAATAAATTTGTAGCTAAAAAATCTCTTAAAAGAAGTGGTAAAAAATTATCCCACTTTGTTTTTATTATTTAAAAAAAATTATATTAAAAAGCTGTTAAGAAAGCTATCCAACCTTAATTTTGAATAATTTATTTATTATTTTAATTATAATCAAATTCATAATGTATATTATTTATGTGAGTCAATGAATAAAGAAAATGACAATCAATCATAAGATAATAAAATAATTCATCTTCAAATTAAACTAATTTTATCTAATTTTTAAAAAATTTACAAATATTTTTTATTATATTTGCCCAGAAAATTAAAGTCTTAAATCGGCCGTTAGATACACAGATCGACCAATAGAGATCGTCTTAATAAAATGATAAAAAATGAAGTGCAGAGCTAGCGTTATCTATATATATTGGAAGATATTTGTCTTTTATGTGTTTGCCTTGTGACGGTTGCCTTCATAAGTGACGGTTTTTTTATTGGAAAAATGGTGGGCCAGAACTGGCCAACTAATATATATATATATATTACTTATAATTTATATATATATATATGCAAATTAAAATTATTTATTTAAATATATTTTGATAAAATTTTTAGAGCCATTAGACTATTTTAAAAATAAATATAATATAAAATTATTATCTGAAAAAACTCATGTACATTTTTTTTTTTTAGATATTTAAGTCGATTAAAATAAAGTCACACACACATCATATAGGTAAGCTTCAAATTTAAGATCTCTTAATTGATACCAAACCTCTTAATTAACTTAGACCAAATACAACCACGTTGCATATCCATTCTTGAATGCATGATTTTGCAATGAGAGTCTAAGCTCTTAGACTAAAGTAGGATGCATAGTAAACTTTCCATTTATGTTATGTTACAATACTATTTGAACGTTGTGATTATGCGATAAGTTTTGCAATCAACTGTTTTAGGCTTTGTTTAGAACAGCTTTTTAAAGAAATTTTGTAGTACAATTTTTCTAATTTAAAAATAATAACATTAAAATCTGCTTTAAAAAATAATAAGAATGTTGTCTCAAACAAAGCCTTAGCCTCTTTCAGTTGACTTCCAATGGGGTTTTGACGATGCTTACGAACTTCTGATGGCCATGAGCCTACCATGTTTGTATGCACTTGCGACGTTCCTCCTCCCACATATTTATCCATCAAGTATAGCTGCTTCTTGTCTTCCCTATGACAAAGTTGCCATTAGATCTACAAACTATTGCCACCTCCACGCTGCTGGAGGTCGGTCATGTTGGCTTCCGCCTACTTTCACTTCATGTTTCTCCACATATCATCGCCTCGATTTTTTTTTTTTTTTGAATGAGGGTATCTAACCGCAGTCACCCCAAAGGAGGCGCATGGCGTCGTAACTAATCCCT